CTCGCCTCTGCTCCTCTGGCAGGCCCCCACTCGCTTCGTCATGAATTTGCATCTGTGTGCAATGGACAGATGTTTTCTTTGGTGAATAACTTCAAAGTTCAGCTTTGTTCTGAAACAAAACTAAAAATAATAATAATAAAAAGAGCAGGGGAGAATGTGCTTTACATTGAACATTGAGTAACTTTTATAATAATACATTCTGAGATCAAATTATTCCCGAATAGAAAAAATAAAATTGTTTTGCCACAAAGATGTCAGAACACTGCCAGAGCTTTCCCCCACATTTTCTTGTGGAAAAAAACCTTTCAGAGAAATGATGCCATTTTTCTGGTCTCTTGTCTAAAAAGATGATAGAATATTGCTCTGTTAAAGCATCTTTCACAGGATGCATCATGGTATTCCTCTACTGTGAGAGACTGTAGGGATTTGTTGTACCAGGATAATTAAGAAAAAGAAGTATTAAAAGAAACCAAAGAGTTCCTTCCTTCTTTGAGGTTTCTTGTACATGGTTGGGTGGCCATTCTTCAATACAACAGATGGATGTAGTCCCAGCTACGAAAACAACTTTTAATATATTAAGATAGTTGCAAATTGAAATAATTTGCCATGCCTCATTTACACTGATGGAACAACACATTAAAAGTTTGTAATCCCTGTCTGTAACAGGATTGTCCCTTCTTCCAAGGTGAATCACTAGTTCGCACCAGAAATCCTCTGTTTCAAAGAAAAACAGGTAACCCTCACTGAATTGTTGGGAAGCTATACTTTATCAGAAATCAAACCATCATTAAGCTGAATGTACAAAACCATTAACACTAAAGGAATGAATCCCTATCAATTTTTAAGTTTCCAGCCTCAGAGTTTTCTGGAGGATAGTTTTGTTCCCACCTTTCTGTATACTACAGCTTGCCTTTAGACACCAGGTGGTGAAGATGCATACATAGATGAGGTTGTTCAGCATTTTGCTTCCTCCCTGTCCCTATCCCTCTCCCCCCCCAACATTCATATACTAAAAATTGTCAGATCTACAAGTATCCCAGGATACAGTTTCTTCACAGTAGCATGCATTTTTTTTCTTTCGTCAGGGAGCTGAGGTCTCAAAGTTATTCTGATGTCAAAAACAAAAACCCTTTTTCATTTCTTAATGGTGCTCTGCAACTTTCACTCTAATCCAAAGTAGAGTAACTTGGCTCTTGATTTATCTCAAGATTGCAGTAGGACTATTCACATGCTTAAAATAAAGCAATTTGAGTGTTTTGCTACATAAGGATTTTCAAGCACCTCACAGTATCAAACTCAAAAAGTGTTATCCCTCCAGCTTTGCTGCTTTTAGGAACAGAAGTCTCTGTTTCTCTTTGCTCTTCAAAAGGAAATTATAGTCTGGCCAGGAGGTTATGAAATGCTGTCCTTCTATGGACACCTACCTCTCAGTGAATTAACTGAAATTAGCCATTTTCATCGTTAGATAAAGATCATTGCATAGGAGGCTGCTCCAGGATGGCACAATATCAGTCAAGATCCAAACGACTGAGTATCTTCATTTACATTTATATTAAGTGGCAGTTTTGGAAGGGGCCCAGAGACTGACCAATCCTTGCTCAATTTCTGATGCCTTCCAAGAGCTGATCCGACTACTTCGGCCTAAGATGCATTCCCAAAGATCACTGAAATCCTCAAAAGTAGTGGGGATTTCAAGCGCTACTTTTTGTGCATGAAATTTGCTTCAAGATTATAAAAGAAACAAAAAAGCAAGCAGCTATACATACAGATTCCCTGCACTTTAATTTAGAAACAAAGAAAGGCTTCATATATTTTCATAAAGCTCTCTTCTGGCCTGAAAGACTAGTAATAAAGTGTACTTTTGTGCTATTATCCCTGAAAAGAAATTAATTTGGAATTCAATTTTGTACGTCAGTCAGCCTTGACTAAATTACAAGCATTATGATCCTACCAAGAGGCCGCAAGACCATTCATTGTTATTTAGGAAGCTAGATATTTTACAGCCCTTCTCCCCAACAATCTAAACACGCTCCTCTGAAAACAGCAATTAATAGCACATCGTTGACTACGCAGCAAACCACGACACGCACAGTCTGCAGTACGGTCTCACCTTGAACTAGGTCCTCCAGGAACACATTCCTGTTGTCTAGGGTGCTGCCATTGCTACGGCCAGTCAGGCATCACAATACTTGAAGCTGACCCTGTATTCCATAGGGAAGCAAGGCTCTCATTAAAATCGGTACAAGTTTTCCCAGCATGAGGTCTACCGAGTTGGACATTTATATATTAGCTGATAGAATTATCCCTCCCTCTTTTGTCTAAAAGGAGACTTGTTCTGGAAATTCTATAGGAAGCTTCCCTGCTTCACAGGATTTCTGAGTGCCACCAGCATATTGTGAAGCACCAGATCTTTACTAGATTCCTTCGATCATGTTTTCATGCAGAAAGCTAAATCCACAAGCTGGCAGGACTGCATAGACCATTCACTGGGAAATGCTTGAGGTATCATTCCAAGATGATTAGAAGATGTTGAGGTTCTCAATATTTAACTCCATTCACATAATGCACACATTTATACACACAAACACACATTTATCAGAAAGATGTACAGTAATTACTCCAGCTGGTACTACAGTTACATTTTATTAAAAAAAAAAAAATTTAAGTCGCAACTTTCTCTTAATGAAAAAGAAAACTGGAATTTTCGCCTGAACCCTTATTCTAAACATACCCGAGCAAGCATAGTGAAAGTCAACCTCAGATAGGAAACAACTGTAAACAAGGCTTATATTGCCACATCAAAAAATGAGTTAAAACAAATAAACAATCAACAAGCATCATATCTTTCCTTCAAAAATCAAGAGGCTGTGAGCAAAAGCCTGACCTCTATTTCGTTCTCTTCAGTTAGTTAGAAAGAACACGAACGAAAAGACTTAGCAGAAAAGCAATTGGAGAAACTGAGCTAGAGGGATGAAACAGCTTTGAATTTCTCTTATAAGCTTCTCATTCCTTTGCAAGAAAAGAAAAGAGAGAAACATTGGCCAGATGAATGCACAACTGGACTAACCCTGATAAAATGTACTGTGGCAGTTCAGTTACCTGAGAAAAATAGTCATCAGTACTACAGAAATCTGAGTGCTAAAATGGCATTAAATTACTCCGGTACACTTTGAAATATGTGATCTCAATGACTAGCCAGAGATCTAGGAACACACATTTGTATATTAAAGTGCTAAATGTAAGCAGAAAAATACACAAAACAGTTAAAAGACACTTTTACCTGGCACACGTCTTACTATATGCTACAGGAAACTGAGTCAGTTATGACATACTGCTTCGATCCAATATAACAATCAGTGTGATAATGGTATATACTATTATACATACAAAATCGCGTGTATAAATAGTTTTCAATGCTAACAGTTAACAGAGTGAAATCCACATTTTTTTTTGATGTAAACAGTAATGTTTCAGTAAAGACATTTTCGTTTTAGACATTACTATACCTGTTTAACATTACTGCATGCAAGATACACAGTATTGTCTATAAACTATAAGGCACTCTATCATTAGGCAAGAAACGGTGAGGTTATGACATTCAGAGTGAACTTCCCAGGTCAAGTCTAGTGCTGCACACAAAACTGCAAACATCCTCACTAACTGCACACCTAGACAAGCCAGATGTTTGTATATAAAAGGTAATTTAATTCACATATCCTTAGTCCTCTGAGGCATGAAGATCTGACTCTCAGGTTTTAAAAGGCACAAAAATTGAGGGACATTCGAACTACAGCACTTAAAAGTGAATCCTATTATTTTTCTGTTTTTAAGATATGGTTTTTAAAGGCAACTAGATGATGGAAAAGTAGAAGTCGCACAAAAAAAATTAAAAAAAAAAAATCAAGAGTTGATCTCCACCTTCATTTCAATATGGTTGTTAAAGTCATCCTGTTAAAAACAAAAAAAACCCACACACACCAAAAAAAAAAACCCTAGGCCTTCCTTATGGATTCACTCTTATACCTTGCGCTCCAGAGAAACTGCTTGCTGAAAACCAAATGCATTTTCTTTGCCTCTTTTTTTAATCCTTTACTTAATAAGCCAGCATCTTTTACAGGTCAAGTGCAAAGCATTACTAAGCAGCTGGATCATCACATCATTATTTCTTCACTGCATCCTCACTCTTATCTGGGACCAAAAAGGGCGATATTAGTAAATTGTGAACACTACGGGCATCTGAATAGAAGTGCAAATTGTTTTAGGCTTTCCAAATTGTTTGTGTAAAAAAGCAAGGCAAATAGTCTTTGGTATAGGTTCACACAGAGCTACAGAAGTGTTTTAACATCAGCTGGAAAAGAGAGAAAAACACCCATAACTTTACTTCTGAACTAGAAGAGCACAAGCTCAAGTATTCACACTGATTTACATTAACTGGACTCTTTCAGGCAGCAGACAGGATCTTTCACTACATTTCCATAGCAACCAGCATGAGAAATATGGTGAATTTTCAAGAAGCAAGTGGTGGAAATGGCATTCAATGTCCCCTTCCTATGCTCAGACACTAGGAAAAGGAGCCAACATCTGTGCAGTCTGGAGCTGCCCTGAACCAGAGATGTGCCTATGTCTTCAAAAGGTCACCAGCCTACACACAGGACAAATCACTTCTGAGAGAGGAGGAAATCCTGGACGAAATACTCTTCCCTGTCTATTTATTGCCGTTTTCCTGATGTCTTGATAATTTAAAAGGAGTGTACCTTTGCCATTTCTTTCACAATTGAAAGTGCATACATTCCCGGAGAGCATCTACTGTTTTTGAGTTTGCTAGATATTCACTCTAAAATTGGAACCTACCAGCAGCTGAAGTTTAAAAAAAAACACAACAAAATTAATATCAAAAACACACTTAAAAAATAATACTCCTCTTCTGTTTTTTTGGGGTTTTTTTTTGTTTTTTTTTCCTCTCCCCACTCCTAGACCCTTGTCCATACAGGTCACCTGTATTTCCAAAGAAAACTGCTATACTCAGTATAAAATTACTCCTCTAAACTATCCCTTTCCTTTTTTTCCAGCAAGGATGTGCTCGTATCTCCATTATTCTTTTCATTTGCATCTCCATTGTTCTGCGATTCCCCCGATTTCTGATGAGCAAACGTATAAGCATCATGGTCTGTTTCTGTCAGAGGTGGAGGCTCCTCTACGCCAGGAGAGAGTTTAATATCTTTTCTGAAAGACAAAGGAGGTGGAGAAGGCGGCAAGCTACCAACGGGGCCATCAAAAGGCCGATACACATCAACTTCTGGAGTGACTGAGCCATTGGATTCCTTCAGTAAGTGCCCATAGACCATAGCATCATCAATCACTGCATAGACATGAGACTCATTGTTTCTCCTCCCTTTTTTAAATAAACCTTGTTTTCCAGGCATCTGGGTATTCACGTTAGCGTTGTATACTCCCACCATAGGATTCTGGCTTTTCTTCTTCCTGTTATAAAGTTGAAATTAACAGGTCAGAAAGAAAACATGGCTGGAGCATTTAAACTAGATAAAGACAACTTTTATTTACCCATTCCAGCTCTCAGTATTAGACAGTCTACTTGAATTGAAGGCTGCACTTGCAATCTTAGGAAAAATACCTCTCCAGTCTAGACATGCTTTTCAAATATAGCACCTTTTTTTAAAGGAAACAGAAAATAACTTTCCAGTATTCAGTTCCCTATTTCTGTTCTACTGACTTTGGAGTTTGCAAGATTAACTCCAGCAATCTCCCAAGTTCAGGGGTCCCAACTGTGCTGTGCCCTGAGCCTCTTAACATCCACAGATCTGGACCTAAAGGCCATCAGACCCTCACTCATTTTATGAGGCTGACTGTGGCTCAAGACAAGTAAAGTAACCTGGATCCACTTATGAAAGTCAAATGAACTTTTTCTGTCTCTGGTGTGACTGTCCAAAGGTGGAAACAGTGAGGGCTCAGCTGAAGAATAAGCCCATGATTCCAAAGTCTTTCCTGAGTAGCGGAGATGAGTGCTCATAATGTTCTAGTCATCATATTGGACAACTTAGTCCGTGTTTTATAGCTCCTGGACCCAATCACCCTGCCAGCACTGAGCATCTAAGTATCAGAAGCTCCAAGCTATCAATGGCTTCTAACTCTGCTTGCATGAGTAATGCTATGCATGTTTGTTTTGCTCAGTCTAGTTTTCCCTCCAAGAGCTCATCAGTCTTTAAAAAGTGCTCTTATTTGGTGTATAAGCCCCAGAATAAACTGCTACAGGTTGTGTTGAAGAAAAATAGCTTTTGTTGTATCTGACCTTTCTCTGTACCATTCTATAGGCACGTAATAAAGAAGTTCTCACTTTAGTCCATCCTCAGAAAGTAGAATTCCTCTGACCATGAGAAATAAAACATGACACACTCTTTAGAAAAAGTCTTCGTTTAATGACTTGGAATCAATTTAGGAACTCTGTCTCAAGGCAGCGATGCAAAAGCTTGGCTAATTTTGAGACGCTAGTAAAGTGAGTTTAAAGCTTGTTTGAACAGAGTCTTGTGTAGTTATAGGCAGAGCAACCACATTCTTTGCAATTTCATTTCATAGCAATCACTGATGAAATCCAACCAATATCTTACTTTCAGTACGAGAAGCCCACGCTAATGCAAAAGCTCATTACTAAAGCCAAGCAATTTGGAGTAGAGCAGCATTCCTGAAGTCACTTGACTTCAGCCCTCAGTGCATTGCCTACCTTATGCTTCAGATCCTTGTTCTAAGGAACTATACCAACATTTGAAATAAAGATGGCCCAGTGGCTCTCCAGAAACGTCTTACTGAACTGCTAAGTTACAGATGCTGAATTATGAACTTACTTCTTCCTAACACAGCACACGGTGAGTCCGATAGCCACAAGAAGTCCAGTCCCAGACACCACAGCAATTATCACTGCTAGATCTACAAGCAGACAAGAAGGTACAGGAACACTGAGTGAGATGTAGAAAACATTGAGCTTTCTCCTAAAAACCAATCCAAAAGTTGGATTTGAATCATTTCAACGTTTCTAAGAGTATTAGCTGTGTGCAAAGCAGGAGTTCCCAGACTGTGCTCACCTAAGGGTACACAAGCCACTTAAGTAGTTTAGGGCCAAGCAAAGACAGGCTGCTTACTGCCTGAGGAGGAACTGCTGTTGCTAGAGGAGGAACACAGTCAAGAAAACTAAATAAATAAATAATAAAAAGCTATGAGCCTTTGGTGTAAGAATTCAATACATTTAAACTTACCTCAGATGTCTCACATGCCTCTGGCTGGATAGGCAGGAAGTAGGAGAAAGTGTGGGGAGAGACAGAAAAGGATTCAGCATAGAAAGTAGTTACATTTCACCAACTTTTCACCAGTATAATTCTTTTCTCTGAAGTATAAAAGAAAACCCCAAGCCAACATAACTAGGAGTCATAAAATTCATCAGAAAAGTTCATGTGCGAGCAAAGAGAAAAATGCTGCATGTCTAAAAGATACACACAGATTACAAAAGCCACACAAAAAAAAAGCAAAATAAAATAAATAAATAAATATATATAATCTCACAAACCAGAATTCCCCCTTCCCCAAATTTAAAAGATATATGAAAAAGAAAAAAAAAAAAATCTTTCTTCCCAGACTCTAAAAGTACTCATCTGTAACTCAAGGAGGTTTTTGAGAAACAAGTATTTCAGAAAGCAGGGATCTCATAAAACACGCACACGAAGATATAAAATCCCAACGCATGCAGCGGACCAGCACATATTATTGCTCTCATGAACGGAAAGAAAGGAATCAAGTGGAAAACAAATGACTATAATCTTACAGGACTCACCTATCTTTTTTTCAGCAAAAGTCACCCAGAACTGTAAGGTCAAATGTGTCTTATCCACAGGTTTACAGTTAGAGATGTTTACCCAGAAGTTGTGGTACATATCTAGGGGCTCAGGTAGAAGTTCATCCTCCCGACGCACGGTTTCTTCTGCCCTGAATTTCTGTTCCTGTATGTTGAGATAAGCACGTCCTGTCTCACAAGCAATGCCCATGCGGTCCTTTGAGAATCCCAGGCGAGCAACTTGCTTACTGGGCACTTTGATGTACCATGATATAGAGACATAAGGAGGTAGACCATAAGGCCAGTTGGGAGTCTCTAAGTAAAGTTTAGCTTTTGGGTCTGGACTCACAGTGAAAGTACATTCATCTGTAGCAAAGGAAAGAAGGAAAGAAATACAGGAATGAAAGTTTACTTAGTTTCAATCCTTTTTTTTTTTTTTGAAGGCTTTCTCTTTCAGTATGCAAAATTATCTAGCCTTTCTTCTCTGTAACAAAAATGCACTGCTTACACATGCAATCAGCAAATTTATACGATCAATGACATCTCAGTACCAGGAACACAAGTCATTTATCACCTCTTTCACATCAGTAATTTTCACAATTAGCACAGATTTATCTGCAGAATTTCCCACAAGCACCTACCTACCTTCTGGAGTACAAAGTTTTTTCATTTTTCAAGAATTAAATAACGCCACCGATTCAAATAAAGATTTGTCCAAGTAACCACAGCAGGACTAGAAGCTAAAGAATTGAACTCTTATTTCTGTTTATTCACATACGTATTAATAATTGCATTGAAAGATACAACAATTAGGAAAGGGGTACAAAGCACTACCTTACCTTCAATATGTTGCACAAAAGACATTTTCAGATCCTGATGATTAGACTCATTGAAGAATCCTTTACCAAACGTTTTTAAGGATATGGTAATGTTGTTCCTCATCTGAATCTTTTCAATGGATCCCCCAGGACAGAATAAACCAACATTTAAATCTCCCTCTGGGGTGGCACTAACAATGCTGTAACTGTAGCTTGTGTTGCACCTCTGCTCTGGGACATGTTGCTGAAGTTTCAAGGACGGAGACATAATTTCTACATTGATCAGTTCTGGCGCCAAAAGCTTCCAAATAAACTTATGCAGTCGAATTGGCAATTGCGTAATAGCCTTGGGCACTGAAAGGGCATAGATCTTCCTCCGACATCGCCAAAAATCAACACAGCCTGCAATCACAAAAATAAGCCATATAGTTTTTTTTTTTTTTTCTTGCAGAGGAAATATCTAGGAAAACCAAGTCTTCCTGTGTACCAGAGTGTACACAGAGAGTTCTGTTACTTGTGCGTGTCAGGTCCAGATAAACATTTACCTGAGAAAGAATACGTTCACCCGAAGACACTGCCATAGACCTTTTTACCTCCCCCCCTCTTGTAGTGATCATTACTAAAATAGATATTACCTAGAGTTTAAGAGCTTTCCTTAAAATGGGGCAGGACAAAGAAAACTACAAATATAAATGTATGCAAAATTCCCCACTTTGTATCAGTTGCTTATTGGGACACCATTGCAGACCAGTTAGAAAACACGGTCAAGGCCCAGAAATATAATTTAAAACTCTTCCTCTACAAGTATTTGAAAACATTTGGGAAAAACCTATGCCAAACAGACACACAAATGCCATAAGACACTTTCCTAATGGCAGCCCTGATCCCATGTTTTAATAGGCCGATTTATGGCTCTCCTGTTCTGTTTCCATATTTTGCAGTTTTCAGTAAGAAGATTCTTACAGGCACGCTATCATTTCCTTTCTAAGGACAACTACACCATTTCTCTTGCAAAGGTGCAACAACGTAGTGAACAATAAGGCGTGATTTCCAACCAAAATCTACTTTAAGGAAAAGCAAGAGACAAGGTTTAGCTGATCATCAGGGAAAAGCATACAAAAGCATTCTCTAGGGAAAAGCATACAAAAGCATTCTCTAGGAAACAGCGTAAAAGCACTCTTGCCATACTTATATTTTTTTCAGCTGTGATTCTCAGACGGGCCAAGTCATTGCACAGAAAGGAAATCTTGTAGATGGCCCCAGACGCTAAAGTCAAAGCACGGTCACAGGTGCGAGGATCCTTACAGATCAGGCATATCGGTTCAGATATGAATGGGCTCCAGCTGGGCCACCCTTCAGAGTATATTGTTACAGTCATATCCCATTCTCTGCTAAGATCAACCAAATGGGTGATATCTGCAACAAAAAAATGTTAATAGCTTAGACAGAGCAATCACTAGCAAGAACTGCGGAAAGAAGAGGAACTTCCCCTCTCTCGTCTCATCACATTCAATAAGCAGTGGTTATAGCTATTTTTATACTAGCTAAGAAAACATTATTTAGTTCTTATTTCCATCAGTGTGACATAAACCCAGGAGATGTCCTATTCTTCTAATACAAAGTTTCAAGACTTTTTGCATACACACCCCATTTCACTACCTCTTTTCAGCTATAGTGGGGTAACATGTATGCTAGTCTCTTTTGAACAGGTTAGGCTATAATGTAAGGAACTCATTAAAGGGTTCAGATCACCATGTTTGAATTTGTTTTCCCTAAGAGGTTTCTTATATTTCTTTTAAAGTGAGTTCTATTGATCCCGTTAACACTTGATCAAAGAAAGAAGTTTCTCAGTTCTCAAATTTTGTACTCATTGCAAAATTTCCATCTCAGATAATTTTTCGTTGCATTAGGTTTTTTATAGCCTAACTGAACAGAGTTGCCTGAAGTCAGTAATTAAGCACATCTGGTTGTCTGGAGTCAGTTAAAGATTAAGCTAATTTAAATGCAAGCACCAGGATGGTCCAAAAGGGGGAAAAATGCCAAGTATTCTCCATTGGAAAAAGCAGTGAAGGTCATTATGACTATAGCTTTCAAAGAGGCTTCCCAAAAAACATTTTTGTTTGGTATTTAAAAACAAAGATGCCAGAAATGAACACGCACCACTTCTAAGAACGGTCAGCGAAACCCTACAAGCGCTAGCATTTGTTTCCATGGGACATTTTGTGTTATGAAAATTAAAAAAAAAGTTCTTGGAAACCAAACTGAAGACTCCCATAAAACAGAACTGTAAGAAGAAAAAGACAAATCTGTTTTAAGAAACAGAAAGAAATTTTTTAAAGACTCTACTCTAGCCAACTAGAAAGCCTATCATCAGGCAGGTGGGAAGCCTGAGGATCAGGCCTAGCTTGTCTACTTGGTTTCCCTCAACAGCACGACTGAACTAACGCATTGCCCTTCCATTTAATTGTCCAAAAGCGTTCTTCCAGACATTTTTTCTGACTAGCTGTAAGAAAACCCACAAACCTGGGAGCTGGTAGAGTTAACCTTAAAAAAAATAAATAAATAAAAGAATGTCTTCCCCGTCCTTAATACTGATTTCTCTTGCAGTCCATTCCTTTCCAAGTACCCCACTGCACATAGGCTGGTTGCTGCAGGAAGCCTTGCAACTACTGTCTGAGCTCACTGGATTTAAGGTACCCAAAAAGTTCAGAGTGCCCAGGCTCACATAGACAACGTCCTGCCTGGCACCTGCTCTCAAACAGAGAGATTCAGCTCAGGAAGATCTTTGTGAAGGAGGCATGTCTCCAGCCACTGGAGCTTCTCCAACACCTGGAAGGAATATAGGACATTTATGGAAAGTGTTTCCCTTAGGCTTTAAAAATAATGAATTAATAGCAGGATGCTGATGCCTTTACAAAGTGGCAAAAGCTCTAGGGAGGTATTTGGCTGTACTTCCACAGGCAACAGAACAGGTAAAGAAAAGGCCTTTCTTCAGCTCAGAAATTGTCTTGCTGCATCACCTCAATCCCTGAGCAGGCAATGGAACAGATCATCCTGGAAACCATTTCCAGGAAAAGCACGAACGACAAAGTGACTGGGAGTAGTCAGCATGGATTTATGAAGGGGAAACCACGCTCAACAGACCTGACAGCCCTCTAGGCTGAGATGACTGGCTTGGTGGAGGAGGGGACAGCAGTGGACGTTGGGTACCTTGACTTCAGTAAGGCTTTTGACACTGTCCCGTAACATCCTCACAGACAAACTGATGAAATACAGCCCAGGTAAGCAGACAGTGAGGTAGACTGGAAATTGGCTGAACTGCCGGGCTCAAAGGGTTGTGATCAGCAGCATGAAGTCCAGCTTCTTTCAATGAAAACAGTCACTAGCGGTATATCCCAGGCGTCGATCCTGGGGCCAAAACTGTTTAACCTCTTCATTAATGACATGGATGGTGGGACAGAACACATCCTCAGCACATTTACACAACTGGGAGGAGTGGCTGATCACTCAGAGGGACCTGGACAGGCTGGAGAGAAGGGCAGGGAGGAACCTCATGAAGTTCAATAAAGGCAAGTGCAGGCTCCTGCCTCTGGGCAGGAATAACCCCATGCACCAGTACAGGCTGGGGGTTGATGTGCTGGAAAGCCCCTTTGCACAAAACAACCTGGCGGTCCTGGTCAACACCCAGCTGACCATGAGCCAGCAACGTGCCCCTGCAGCAAAGGCCAGTGGTGTCCTGGGCTGCATTAGGCAGAGCATTGGCAGCAGGTTGAAGGAGGTGATCTTTCTCCTCTGCTTAGCACTGCTGAGGCCATATCTGGAGCGCTGCATCCAGGGCTAGGCTCCCCAGTACAAGAGAGACATGGAGCTACTGGAGTGAGCCCAGTGTAGGGCCAGAGGAAAAAAATCCAAGGCTGTGGCAGTAGTCTAGTTCAGAAAGTGTATCCATCATGTGGAAAGATTAACAGATCTACACAGTATTTTATGCAATCAAGGAGGCACATGTGTGTCTGATGCAGGAAAAAAAGGGCAGTATTAAAAAAACCTCACACTCCTTGGTTTCTTTTTTCAGCTATGGAGCTCAAAGGCATAAACAAAAGATGAACAACACAGCTCTCTCCTGCATGGGAAACTACAGACACAAAAAAAGCAAGAGATCAGGCAGAAATCTTTAAGTCAGTGTCACAGCCAGGCACAGAATCTCGATTTTCTACTGCATAAGACTCATTCTCAAGAGATTTTTTCCAGCAGCTAAACATGGACGGCGTTAGATGAAGGGAGTAATTTTGACTGTAAAGAGCTATATCATCCCCTTGTCTAAGGACAAGCACAAAGACAGCTGTGAAATAGACAGACGTTTGGGAAGCTTTAAGAATATGTAGATATCAATTCATTTTTAATAAGAATTATGTTCAACTTCCACACTAGAGACAGCATATTTTTGTTTGTTTGTTTTTTAATAAAAGTCTCAATACTGTCCTGAGGATTGAGGTATATTTGAATCTTTGATGGAAATTTTATAACTAAAAATCACTACTGAATTCCTCTAAAATCCCTAGGGAAACCGCTGTTCTCTTAAATCCAAGTGGTTTATTACTTTCATTTCATTAAATAAAAGACAACCTGTTTATTCATTTATTTTTAAAGAAGATTATCATCTTGTCTACTGACCATTATATATTAAAATTCCTCTTTGCTTTCCAAAGTAGAAGGGAGATAAAGCTGACTAACCAAATACAATGTTTTCTCTCTGTCTGCCTTCCAAGATGCAACACAAAATCATGTTTGCTTACATTTATTGTGTTAACAAGGTTTTCCTCTGAGGATTCAGGAGGATTTGCTCTTCACGAATGGAGCCAGACTACACAGCAAAGCACTCCATGCAAAGAACTGTGGATGAGGCTGCTGAGATGCTACCTGCCCCTTCTGGATATGTGACTTCAAGGCACAGGTCATGCAAACTTCATTCCCTCTAGGAGCACTCAGAAAGCCCGTACCTAGCTCCTGCTGCAGCGGCAGCCTGCAGCATGGACTTGTATTCACCTCTCCCTTCAGCGAGAGAAGGGCCTTGGTTACTCCTCTCCATCAGGAATTCAGGTCAGAGCTAAAAAGCCAGATAATAAATCACTGCGTATCTCTTTACCTAGCTACTCTTCCGAGGCCTTTTATTCCTGTTTTTAAATAGGTGCTGTGGCATTACAAGTTACTGCATACTGATTTTAAGATAGAACCACTAGAACCCATCAAAGATATAGCCCATTTCATCTTGCATTTTATTTTAGCAAGAGTTTAAACATTTTAATCAGTGCTAAATATTAAACACTGAAGAATGTGTTAAGCCAGGCTGAGTTTGAGGGTTAGAAAACAAAATTCAGTTTTTTCAGTGTAGTAAGAAGTAGCAAGAACTCACAAGAAGGTTTGAATAGGTAAGGGATGCTGTTATTGAAGTATCATATTGACATAAAAGTCACACACTAGAAGGTGTTCAGGTTTCCCTTTGGAACAAAATAAAACTCAGAGGAAGGAAAGGAAGGAAGGAGAGAGCATGTATTGATGTCCTTAGTAGTAGAAAGAAATAATTCTAAATCTCCCATTTCACCAGTTCATACTCCCGATCTTGACCTGCTGCACTTTAGGAATGGTCTTTAAAATGTTGACTCTTACAGCTGAAAATAAAATCATCTGAATAAGCTTGAACTTGATTTCTGTATTGGAAAATATGCAGTGGTGTGTAAGCTAAACATTCCCAATCAAGCAGTTAAGGTTCTTATATTATAACTGGATCAAATCCCCACACAGGGAACGTATTCTCAAGGAAAAGCTACCTGTTGCTTAGTTTTGTTTATATAACATGCAAGATCTGATACTGCAGATGTTAAATGCAATTATACAATGTGTACACTGGAACAGGAAAGGAACCTTCATTTACAAGATACAGTATATCTACAATGGAGTTTTTACTCTGCCTTGCAATTTCAGCATCATCTTTCACCTCGCTGTCATGACAGCCACTGGCACTCAGCACAGTAGTAATACAGGCCTCTCAGTGTTGCCTGGCAACCCACTTCCTTAAAGTCAAGGAAGGTCCAAAGTTCAAAATAAATAAATATATATATAATAAATATATATATTTCTTAAATGTATATATTCACACATACATATTATTCTCTTCCTTGTGGTGCTTGGCCTAGATGTTTATAAACAAAAGCAGTAGAGCTAGTTTATATCTGTAGAAGGAAAGAGATAAGCAAGTGAAACAGCAGGCATAAAGAGACGTAATGGGTAAACAGTTACGTACTCTCATCAATCTGAGGATGCTGAACGATGACTTGGAAGAGCAAACGGAGGATGCCGGGGTTCTGGGCATCCTGATCACAGCCCTGCAGGGACAGGTTGAAACTGCCAGCAATATTGGCAGGCTGGCTGTCGCTCAGCTTAAACACCTCTGGATTACTGACTGAGCCAGGTATGTAGTACTCCACCCTCTCCTCTTTCCTTTCGCAGTTGGAGAGGCTGTAGTTGTGGAAAAAAACACTTGCTCTCATGTTAGATGGAACATGAAATTGCCATGTCATGAGCTCATCCTCTGGAAAGCCCCGTGGATAGTTGGGGGACATCAGGGTGACTGAAGACTCCCCCTTCAAAGTGGATTCAATAATGCATAATCCTGTGATGGAGGAAAAAACATACAAAACAAGTACCAATTAAAGAAGGCTGACTGGCAGACACATGCAGCACTGCAGCAGTAGAGTGTTTTTATATGACAGTGAGATCACCCACCTCAGCTACGGGCTAGGTTATTTAAAACAAACAAACAAAAAAAAAAAACCACACACACACACAAAAACATCCTCAGACTAACACATATACTTGAGTTAATGCTATTATCCTCAGTTACACAAAAGGTAAGGAATATATTAATGCTGTATTTTCAACTTAGTGGGTTTATCTTCCAAGCACATGGACACACAGTCCTATATTTTCGGAAAGGATAGATCCTACTGCTGGTATGATCCTACTTCACAGGAGCAAACATACAACTTGACAACCGCTTCTGCTAGTACTGCTTCATTGGATTACATGAAACAGAAAGAGGATGTGAGCTTTTAAACCAGTGTGGAGTTCTCAGTCCAAAGACCTTCAGAGGTCTAACAAGAGCACAGCAGCAAAGAGCCTCAAATACGCGTGACAGAACATTAATGTGAGCCACAGAGACCACGTAACATGCTTTGTGCTTGAACGAATCTCAAGCACTTAACAGAAAGTGAGGTTACGTGCACAAAGATTACAGGCCCATTTTAAGACTCCAAGAATGATGAGTGTGAGGGGCTGCCATGCCCCTTACTTGTCTGAATGTTTCAGTAGTGCTACACTGGGGGAGGAGTTACAAATTTTGTAATTTTTGTAGTTTTTTTTTTTAAAACTGGTTTTACCACTGTGGAAGCCTTTCGAAAACATGGATCTGGATCAGTTTCTAGCTACACCTGATGGCAAAAATTGCCAAATTCACATAGAGCGCGTAAGCAGATCTCCAAGACAGGCTTGTCTTGAGATCACAAAGTGACCGCTAACTGTCGTACATGTCTCAGGAATTTTGAGAAGTCCATTACACAATATTTTATGTTACGGTGCACGCTGAAACAGACAGCTATATGTAAGCAAACAGACTCATGTGCCTTCCAGGCACCGTTTCCCCTTCCCCTCCCTTGCCCTCCTGAAGAGGAGGGGAGATTTGAGGACTTGAGTAAGTTAAGGAAGCTTTGTTTAAAAATAAACAAACCATTTTACACACTGGAAGCAGCAAACAACTCCCACAGCTCATTCTGCTTATGCTGCCAAATCTTACCTAGTAGAAAACATTTAAAAATCATAAACCAGATATGTTTATGTTTTAAGAAGTTTAAAGAGGTTGAAAATGTGTAAAAGTGCACCAAAAGCAGCAACAGAATAATGCTCATAATTATTAGGTTAAACAATTGAGCTGTGATATTTTGACCCTAGAAGAGCAATAGATACCAAATGTAAGCATAAAATCACTTAAACAACAAACCACCACCACAACAAAGCATTTTGGAAAAAAGGAAGTAGAAGAAAATTAGGGATAGCAGTACAGAAACTAGACACTACAAGTCAGTGGAGCAAGGAAGTGACAGTTCTCAAGGCTTCTGCGCATATAGTAATAAGATGGTGCCAGCATGTAGGGACAGATAAGCAGGAGCATACACATGATAAAACCAAAAAAGGTGCAGGCAGGCATAACTTCGGAAATATCTAGCTACTGCAGGTTAGCTGAAAACAAAGGTTTAAAGAATTCTGCTGCAATCTGCATGAAGCAATTACATCGTGGAAAAAAAGAGGGAGGAAAAAGTATTCTGTACTTACTTTTTATGGAAGACCTATTTGCTATGTTAAAGCCCGAGGTGGTGAGAGATGAGTTCCACGGGAGATGCAGGGCCATGATGACTCCTCCTTGCAGTTTAACCCGAGACACTGAGCCATTTCTGCAGAAGGTGCCAATGTCGACCGTGGCTGTATCAATACAGCTGTTGATGTTGTAACTAATGAAATCTGGACATGTGCCTCCTGGTTCAATCTGTCTTAACCATGGGGTAGCAAACTGCAGTTCAAGCCCAGCCTTTGTACTGGCTTTCACATCCCAGATGAAAGTCCTATTAAGACGAGGTAGTCCTGGTGGGTAAAGGTGGACATCTCCAAAGGGACACGGACCCGATACACAGTCTAAACGCAGAGAGAGAACAGCCATAATACACTATGGAAGGTCATCAACTAAATGAGGAATTTACTACTTTCCTCTTTGTTGCTATTTTTACAGTTCTGAGGTTGTACTTAATTTCTCTCATTCTATACGCATTAGAAAACGCTGCTGTAATGTGGTCAGACGCCATCTTTAAACAGGACTCCTATCCCATAGAGTAGGCAGGATAAACCGGCTCTAGGGATGAGTCAGGCTGACTAACAAAAGGGAGCCATTGTCTGTAGTATTCCTGCCTTGTTTGCTGCAGAAGTTAGAAGGTATTTACAGAATAGGATAGGGAAGTGAAAGAACAGAAGGTTCCGATTTTACCCCATCTCAGTCAGAGAATTCTGATTTGATGCCAATCAAATCATTTATCTTTAAACTTTCCACTGCTTGTCATGAACTGTATCTTCGCTTTCTTGATACCTTGACACATATCCTGAGGCCCAGGATTTGCTGAAGCGATGAATAATCACAGCTGCCAGTTAAGTATTCTGGGGGAGAACCTACAGAAATTTTCTTAGAAAAAAGCCAGATTATTGGTATTTCAAACTGGACCGCCAAAATAAACTCACTTTATAAAAGGGGAGACTAGGCATAGATTTAAGACCAAAAAAAAAATACAACTCTATCCAACAAATAATCATGAAGTATTGTGAGTATTACTATTTGAATGAACTATATAAACAAAACTCCAAAGCATGAAGAGAACTATCTTTAAGATCAGAGTTTAAATACAACCTCAAACAATGAGGATACAGCCCAAAGCTGAGTGCCAAATGAAGTCTGAGATATTGCTGATAAGTAGTATGTGTTCATGTCATTAAGGAGTACGTTGCCACACTTGCACACATTGGGGATTACATTCAAATCAAATGAAGGTTTAGTTCCAACGCTTTCAAAATTTTCAAGTTCTTGGCTTTAATAATGATCAATTAATATAAGGCAAATGTGTGTATCTTCAGTATTTCTGTTGCCCTCAGACTGCATCAAGATGTTCAATGTATAACATCGGTGATATGTCGTTAAAAATGTTCAGAGGCTTTTGAAAGGAAATAAGTTCCTTTGGTAGGTTCATAACCAGGGGGAGAAGGGAAGAGAGAAAGCAATTGATGGAACAAACTATCATTTAACCGTTTCTGAAACAATTGAGTTAGCTTTCACTCTGCAGGCCATAAAAATGCAGAGTTTTTTTTAAACTTCTGTAACTTCAGTACTTCAGGCTATTTATCAAAATTCAAAGATTTCTTCTTACCCAAGATTATAGGAGCTACCTTACTATAGTAACAGGCCCCCTGCTTCCCCTCCCCGAAGAAAAAACAGGTATGTAGTTTTACTAGAAGAAAACTGTCATAGGTGAAAAAAAAAATCTGAAAACATAAATCTTACCAATATTTTTCTGAATTTCCATGATGAAATATTCCTCCGGCGTTTTACAAGTGAAGGTAAAAGTTACATTCTCCCCAGGCTTTATCTTGAGGTCAGATCTGGGTAAAGATTTTACACGAATTTGACAGCCCTGTGAAACACCAGGTCTCAGTTTAATCGTAACTATGATGTTGTCCACAGTACGAAGAGAGATCGTAAAAGAAGCTAAGGGGAAGGAAGGGAAAAAAAAAAAAAAAAGTGTTTTGTTACTAGCGTGTACCTTTACCAGCTGCCTGTCCACACACGCCCAGAGATGCCATGTTGTCAGAAGCAACGTTTGCATCCAAGTTCTCAAGTCTTGAGCGCTGAACCTACACACAATTCTTGCAGCGGTTTCAATTCAGCACAGAGCGCAGGCGAGGATAGAAATCTGCATGCTGCATTTGTCAGGGGAGAGGTACTAAATGGAACTTGAGCAGGGTCAGTTCTGCTTCAGTTTACCTTTACCAGTGCTATTCATTTCACATTAAAACCAACCAAAAAAAAAAAAAAATTCAACTATTCCTTTCAAATTTCTGCTGTTCGGACATTAGCTTTCAGGCTATTATCTCCATCACACAACCTGCTTCATGTCTGAAGACACCTGCAAAGCTGTGACTCAGGAAACGTATTCAGCAGTTAAACAACAAAGTAAGCCTCAATTTGAACAACTGTACACTACAGTAACAGGTCAACCTCTGAGTCAACCCAGACCCCCGAGTTAACAGCTCAACCTCAACAGTTACAGACCAGACAAGGTGCTCGGGTGATACCAGAAAAAGATGAAGAGCACAAACCTACAGACTTGTTTTAAGGGCTAAAACTATTCTGGGTTAACAATGCATTGTTAGCTACCGCACAGTTTAGTTTGCTCTAAGAGAAAGCTTTCCAGTCCTTAACATAAGGAAGTGACAAACAAGCGAAGAATATCTTCCTGCACAAAACAGCTTTGAAAAAGAGTAGGTTGGCTGATAGGTATGTGGTCATGGCTTCCTACCCACCCCCAACCATGACCTTTCATAACTCATTCCCTGAAGGCACACATACAAGCAACACCCCAACGCAGCACAGAAGGCGTCCGGGGCTTGGGACAGACTGTTTGTCCCTGGGTCCCTCCTCTGCATCCCTGATGTGGCCAGCCCCAGCCTTCAAGCCCTGGGGAAAGGCAGTGGAGGCCTGAGCAATCTTCACACATTTCAAGCCATCCTCAAGCACTACTGAAGTGGCAGCAGCTCTCACACTAAGTACGGGAGCCACAGAATAAACTGGTTGTTAAATAACCTTGTCATACTGAACAGGTAACGGTTTATCGACAAATTGGCCAGAGGCTCTGGGAGGGCTCAGCACGAGTAGGGGTTCGGCAGCGAAGCAAGGGAACCCTTGTTCGGCAGAGCCCTCTCGTGGCAGAGGATTACGGTCAGAGCCCCACTTCTCAGCCCAGCAAAACCAACCTACCCACCTCAAAATTTTAGCCCTCATAAATGCAGAAATAAGCCTAAATCATTAGTGATTCAAGTTCCCTCTCTTTTTTTAAAAAATTTCAATTTAAAAACTCCTGATTTTGCAGCAATATCATAGTTTTGCAGGGCCCAACTTTCCCTGTACTGTTTTGCAAAAGCTTTGAAGGTCTATCAATCAGCACAGGTTATCCTTTGCTGCCACCAAAAAGACTCCAGCTCCAGGATTTCAAAGATCAGATATCAAAACCTCACTGCTGGGGACAGCACAGCAGGAGAGGGTGGTCTAAGAGATACCTGGCTTTGTTAGTCTCGAGCCTTTCCCAGACTTCTAGGCTTTTCTATATAATCTTGAAGTCTAGTGACTTAATAAGCCCCTGAAATTGCCTTATTTATTTGCCTCTGGGATCAAAGGCTTTAAAGGAAAACCTCAAATACTGTGAAAATTTCTACAGATACTTGTAACAAAAAGTTTACCCACCTTCCATACCATTAGTAAATGTGGTCAGTGAGTAACTTTCTTACAGCTTTTAAGTAACAGGACAGTCCTCTGACCTGACAGCTTATATTGGACTCCTCATCCCTTTCTAACAGCTAGCACTGATGAAAAATAACAACCAGTAATGCTTCCATTTCTGCTTTAAAAACACTTTCACACAGTTTTTAATCTGTGTTATGGTTTTCCCAGGAAATAAGGACACAATACAGGCTAAGAGTTACCACAGGGAAGGAAACAGAACAGTTCATGCAGAAGACTGCTTTGATATGTTGGTCTAACTACAAGAATGCTTGCGCTTCCGAATCTAAACCACAGCCCTGGGACGCAGCAGCTGAAACAACAGGTTTAGTCCACTAGCACAGGAGGACAAAGTCACCCCTTCTGGGCAATGAGGGAGGCAGGTCATCCTGTCAAGCAGGTTTTGCCTCAGCCACCAGATATACCACTGCAGGTCACAGTTGTGCCTGTCTAGGAAAGGAAGACAACGTTCTCCAGAGAAGGAAAACCATCCAGGACCTAGTAGAAAGTCTGATGCGTGTCAGTCAAGCGTTTCCAATACGAGATTTTGAAGAAGCATCTTACAAAGTCACTCCATCACAACACGAGGCCAACTTCACGCGTGCCGCTTTGCACTTTAGCTGCGACAGTCACGTACCTGCCTGAGAGCACAGGAAGCTGACGGGCAGAGACAGTGCTACAAGGGACTACTGACAACAGCAGAATTGAAGTCCCGGCTCAATCCCTTTTTTCCTACCCCTGAAATTAAAGGAATACAGGACCTTACCAGAAAGACATGAAGATGGACATGAAGTACTGAATTAATTCCTCACTTGGGCACAACTCAAGCCTCACTAAAGTCAATGGAGAAGAAGCCTGCTAAGTTTACTGGGACACAGGTTATGCTTGCAAACTTCTCTGCAATGCTCTTCATCTTGTGATGTGTGGATACTGGGGGGGGATATCCACAAAGTACTTCTGCAAGGTCTATTAAAGCAAATCCATAGGAGTGCACGCAAGAAAACACATGTATGTTTCTTTCTCTAATGCAATGATGTTCCAAACACAAACAAGACAGACACAGGGTAACTTCTAGGGATGGGGAGAACAAAACAGCAAAGCAAAGCTAGCAATAAGAGCTGCTCCTCTTGGTTCTTCAAAACAAAGCAGTTTTCAGAAGTGAAACAACTACTTTTAGCCTAGTCGAGGTTGTTCTCCACACCACTGTGTGCTTTTAATACTCATAATGCTCAAAAGTGTCATAGTTTTCCTGACGTTTATGTCATCCAGATATGACTTGTTAATAGTTTAACATTGATAATTAATAACTACTAAAGAAGTTTCTTTATTGTATGTGGTAACTGTTACATCCACCTACTGTTTGTGACTATTACTGAAAAGACTGTTCCCCATTTTCATGGGAAACATGTAAACTTTTCACTCTTCCTTGTTCCCTCTGAAACAGCACAACTAACTAGCCAACCAGGCAGAACTGGAAAGCACACAAGGGCCACCGACGGAAAGCAATTATGCACTAAGTGCTCGCGCACTGCTCAGGTCATCTCTGTTTAGCGGGAGGATGAAGATTAAGTTTGAGTATAGCCTTAAGCCTTTTAACATTTTGAATCAACTACATTGCTTTAGCCATTGTGGAAAGATTAAAGTATAAACTTTTCCCATCCTTGGAAGACCTGAACTCAGTTCCCCAGTTTTGGGGGCAGTACTGAGGGGTTTTTGTTGTTGTTATTTTCAGACCATATACTGTTTGACTTCTATGCAGGTAAGACTACATTGGGCAATGACCACGAGACAAGATTCCTGAGGTGGTACACACACACAGCATAGCACGCAAGAGAAGCTAGCTGTACTCTCAGCTTAGGGATGTTCAAGGGGAAAGGCAAAGACAGGGGCAAAATAAAACAACGCTGGTTCAAGCTTGCAAGAGGCCAGCCTCGTGCTTCAAGATTCAAGAGTGGCTTGAATAGGGTCAACTCAGTAGCAGTTTCCAGCACGGATACGGACTGGGCCTCAGCCTTCCACCTGCAAAACAGGGACTGCCCAAAAAACACAGAGGTGCCATGATGATCAGTATCCCAGTTCATCATATTGGGCAACAAAGATGCAGATCATATACTCAGCTACACTCAAAAAGGTGTCTGCTAGAAACACACATAAGAACAGGAATTAAGCTGGTTCATTGCATAAGCATCTAGCTAAAATAAAATTCTGTAAATAATCATTTTGGACACAGAAATAAGAGCGCAGTGCCATAACTTCAATAACAGTCAGCCGCTAGAGATGTGCTAAACCATACTAATCTATCAAGTCTCATTTTCTGTAGGAAAATGAAAAAAGAATCATACAAAAAGAAGGTACATCCAGTGATCCCAAAGTCATTAAACAAATAACTAGATGGCTAAAAAAACACCACACATACCTATGCAACAGTATAGGGAGACTACTTAAAATTACCTTTATTGCAGTGCTTTTATAAGAACCACTCAGTCTCTTCATGACTCACACTGATCCATCTTTGTCTGTGCTTCCCACCGCATGCCTTTATTAGGATTACCAGTAACTATACAGACTTCTTGTAAAGAAGGAATTTGTGTGCATCATTAATGCTGCACAGTGATGACAAACAGGATATTCAAGCAAGCAAAAAGAAGCATTACTAAAGCTGGATTTACCCTCCATCTACACAACAATGAAATCACTGGGCCAGAAGATGTCAGAGGTGACCTCTCCAGTCATAAGCTGGCCTGGATGGAAGTGGTTCACAGGCTAACGTCGACATCTGATCTCATCCTATTTTTTTTTTCCCCTCTAAGTGATTGTAGTTCTGCAATCTTTCTTAAATATTTATTCAACTGTCCTATCCTAACCTACATTTTTCTTGCAGCAATTGAAGTTCATTACTGTTCATCCTGGTTTAATACAGCACCTTCACAATAGTTGTCTTGTCACAACATCCCTTTATTACTCAGTAATGCTTTTTCCTGCACAGACACACCTTGGCTAGCCTTTTCTCAACAGGACAATCTTCCAAACATTTCATTGCTTTTATTGCGCTGAAAACTCTCCGACTAGATCTGGAAACTAACTACATAGCGTAAAACAAGTGAGATTATTCTGCAGAATTTAGACTAAATTCTGCTATTGTTGCAACTGACACTAATATCCTAGTATCTAAGTATATTCAAACAGGACTTTTTTCCTGTACAAGAGGGAGAGGCAATGTAAAAAGAGAGTTGGAAGGTAGAGGAGCCAGCGGCACCCACAGAGAGAAAGCATACATATAAACAAGGAAAGGTCTTGGGCAGGACAT